GTATTATTTTTGAAAAATACTGTTTTAAGTGAGACTGTATTGATTATATAAAATTTTAACCCCTATAATTATTAATTGACTAATCAAAATTGTGAATTTTAATAATATTAAAAAAAAATAAAAAATAATACTAAAACTTTTAAAAAAGAATTTTATTATAATTTTTTCTTTTATTTTATATTTTAAAAACTTTTAAATATCTTTCATTATTATTTTAAATATAGATGTATGAAAATAATTTATATAAGAGTTGCATATTAATATTTTGAGTGAAATTAAAATATATTGGCAGTTAAAATATCTGAAACTTAGTGAAATTAATTTTACTATTAATCAGAAAATCAAAATTTCTAAATTTTCTGAAATCTTCTAAATCTCTGAAACTTTCAGAATTTTATGGAACTTTCAGATTTTTGAGATCTTCAAACCTAAAAGAAATTTGATTAGCATATATATATATAAACGCGCAGCAACTGCAGTTTATTATTACAACACGCATTTGTTTATTTTATTATATAAATATTTAATCTATTATATTGAGTGAAAATTCTCAAACCTTTCTTCAAGAGTTTATTATTATATCAGATAATATTCAATAATAACAAAAGGTTCAAGTGGCAGGCCAAATCGCTTATATGAGAAATTTATATTAAACAAGACAAAAAAATATCTAATGGTCACTATGAGGTCACTTGCTTATATTGTAATATCTTTTAGTATAAAGGTTTACTTCAATTTTTAGAAGCACATCTCGCTAATTACTATCTTAAAGTTCTAATAAAAATAAAACAATTATTTTTAAATTGACTTGCTACAAAAGCTAAAAATTTCATAGATAATCAAAATAAAAAACGAAAATATGATTACAGAATTGAATAGAAAAAAATAACAGATTTTCACAAAAATTCAAAGATTTTTCCAGAAAAAAGTCATGAAATTGACTGGGCATATGTGAAATCTTTTGTTATATGCGGTATATCTTAATATATAATTGAAAATTCATTTTTTATAGAACTTTTAAAAATACTATGTTCAGGATACATACCTCCTTCTAAAGAGTAACTCTCTGATGAACTTTTGATAAAAAAGTAGCTATTATAAACAGATAAGTTATTAGGGAGTTACAAAATTTTACAAACTTGACATTATGTAAATAATAAAATTATTTAAATTTTAAAATTTTTAATTATTAATTAATATAAACTTATTTTATTCTTTAAAATTTAAATATATGATAGGTAGATCAATATGGTAAATAAATCAATTTAGAATTTTCTTATTCATATATCTGCTCATAAAGAATATTTGTGATGTTTAAAGAATTTATCAGATGAAAGTCATACTGGAGTCTTTTTAATGAATGAAATAGAAGAAGTAATTACAAATATCAGGTCAGAAAAATTTTCAGCAATAGTAATGGATATAGGAACAAACATTCAAAATATTCATAAAATAATTATTAAAAAATATTAAAATATAATTAATATCTGTTGTATGGTATATGCAATCAATTTAATTTCTAAGGATATATATAATACCTCTTTTGCAAACTGAATTTTAATTTGATATAATACAATTGTAACTTTTTTCAAAAAAAGTCATTTAAAAGGTAATTATTTATAATTTTTTCATTCTATTAGTTATTATTATAATAAATACTCAATATTTATTTATATTTGATAGGTTTAACATTAAAAGAAGAGGCTAAAAACTATTAATTAATTGGAGATGATTTAAAACGATAGGTTAATACTCAATGGTATATAATATTTAACTGTATTAATTCTATTAAGCATCATAAAGAAGTTTTAAAGAAAGTAAATATTAAAACTGTTATTTATTTATGTTCAAATTATTTAATTTCTTTAACTTATAAAATTATTTTTTATTTATTTACTTTATTGTAGTTACGATCTGATTATGCTAACCTCCTTTTATCAGCAGTTTTATTAGTATTACAGTCTCGTACCTTTTTTAATGATATACATGTATTAGCATTTACTTTATATCCTATCAAAAAAATAATTTTAAGATTAGAATCACAGTCATATATACTTGTGAACTATTTCATTGGATTAGTTCAGCTTGGAGGTATAATTAACAAATTACCTCAAAATGATTATCATATTTTCCATTATCAATATATTGCAATCTTTAATAAACATTATATTGAATTTGCTGATCTAATATATTTATTATGTTTTTTCTTGTATTTGGATTATAAAGGTTAGTATATTAATCTATTGCAATTTTTTTAAAAAAATTTAAATATTAATCTTATTATTCATTTAGAAATTTGCTAGGCATGAGGAATTTTTCAAGAACTTTTGTTAACTACAAAAGAAATTTTTAGAAAAATGGGAAAAACAAATAGTGAATGATATGAATTAATGCATCAGATGAAATTATTTTGCACACGTCAAATTAGTATTTCTAATGAGTTGAGTCAAGTCAAGTTTTAAGTCAAAATTATCCTACATACCTTTAATTTAAAGTATTTATTTATTATATGTAACTAAAATTTACAATTATGTACAATCATACAAGTTAAATATGCAAGTCATTTTCAGAATTCTATGTTAAATTCCATTTGATATTAATTTAGGCAAGTCTGAACTACCAATTTTTTGGTGGATTTTTATGAAAGATAATTTTTTCAAGGGAGAAGATTACTTAGTATAACTAATAATTAAGCTATTTTCAATTATTCTCTATGTAGCTGAATATAAATGAATTTGGTCTAATCTTAGTTGGTTATATGGTAAAAGGAGAACACAATTAGGGTTAAACAAAGTGAAAAATATGTACAAATTATCAGCTTATTATCATGCACATGTCAAGCAAGAGTTATCATATTATAGTATAGAAAAATAAGCAAGGATATTTGTGAAATTTTGGTCAATACACATTTAAATCCAGATGAAGATCTTATCAAAATTATGGATGATGATAATAATATTAATACAGAAGTAAATTCATTTAGTGAAAAAAGTGATTTAATAATTGGTAATACCTTAAATTTAGATGAAGATGTATTCATTAATAATTTAGATAAAATTATTGAGGATTAGAGCTTCAAATCAGATCAGATTGACCTGTTTATCTGATCTAAACTAAAGTTCTGAACGGTTTAGATTAATCTGAAGATTTTTCAGATTAGTTCAGTTCAGATTAGTATCAAATTGTATAAAAATCAATCTGAAAATTTTCAGTTCAATTCAGATTTTTTCAGATTATAATTCTAATCTGAATCGAAAAAAATCTGAACTGAATCGATAATTTCAGATTAATCTAAAAGTTCAGTTCGATTATATGTGAAACTCTTAAAAGATCGCAAAATTTGCAAATTTTCTAAGAGGATCGCAAAACTCTTAGAGAATTTTAATTTTTCTTCAAATTTCGTAAAAAATTGCAAAAACCTTGAAGAATCATAATTTTTTGCGATTTCTCTTAGAATTTCGCAAAAATATTGTAAAACTCTTAGAGATTCATAAAAAATTGTAATTTTTCTTTAAATTTCGCAAAAAAATTGCGAAACTCTTAGAGAATCACAATTTTTGTGATTTCTCTTAGTATTTTACAAAAAATATCACCAAATTCTTAGAGAGTCGCAAAAAATTGCGATTTCTCTTCAAATTTCGCAAAAAAATGTGAAAATCTTAGAAAATTGCAAATATTTGCGATTACTCATCAAATTTCGCAAATTTTCACGAACCTCAAAGAAAAATTCACAATTTTTTGCAATTCTCCTAAAGTTTCGCATATAAATTACAGATTTCTTATATAATCGAATCGTAATTTCAGATTAATCTAAAATTCTAGTTCAGTTCATATTTTTACTGATCTGCAGTTCAGTTCAGATTCAGATTGGCATTTTTAAGATTAATAATCTGAATCAAACTGAATTAAAATTTTCAGTTCAGATACAGATTGGCATTTAATCCAGACTGAACTGAACTGTTTAAAGCTTTAAACTAAACTAACCTGAAAATTCAGATCAGGTCAATAGATTTTTAGGTTGATGTCAGATCAGGTTAATAGGTTGACCTAACCTGATCCAATCTGATAAAAATTCAGATCAACCAATCATTCTTCTTGAATAATTTATTATCATTAAATTAAAAATAACAAAGTTGATTAAATAAATTTATTATTATTTATATTAAATATTTTTGATATTATTTAACGAATAAATAAAAAAAATTTCTTTTTTTGAATCAGGTCGAGTCAGATCAGGTAAACCTGACCTGACAAGTCAACTAATCAAATTATATATAGCCGATATATCAAAATTTATCATTTAAAAAATTTTATTTTTTAAAATGCAGTAGTTTTGCATAATCTTTATTAAATTCAAAGTATATATCACAAAGTTAAAATATATAAAATTAAGAAAATACAAAAATCTTTATTTAAACTAAATCAAATTAAGACTGACCCTGTACTTGCCCAAAATCTATTCCTAACCTAAGCTAAAAATATCATATTCCAGTAATTAACTGAAAGAGAAAGAGCTTAGCCACTATAGTACTAAAAATCTAGCTAGTAGGATTCATATCAGACTATTTTGTTAATTAAATCATTAATAGTTGGAAGGAAGAAGGGAAAAAAAAGGGGAGCTTATAATATTGTATCCTATTGTAGCGATGTTATCTTATTTGATATTAAGTTGATGTTATATGCTTTTTCAAAAGCAGCTTATTTTAAATATTGATCAATCTATATTATCTGTGTTTATTCAAAGATATAGTGCATAAATACTGAAAATATCGTAAGAGTTAGATCCTTCAACCCTATGGAATTATAAACGATTTGTACAGTGTTTAAGGAATTATTTTTTTAATGAGGGTGGATAGGTATGGAGAACATTCAGTAAACATATATTATATAGGTAAGTTAGATAGGTTCGTGGCTGAACCCCTGTCCTGGATTAATTCTAGTAGGATTAGTTGTAAGTCATGAATGATATTCTTCATCTGTATCTAGATAACTAGACATTCCTAAACATGAGAGAAGATTTTGTCAGCACATTCACATTTGACGTATAGCCAAAATGAATCAAAGATGTTAGGGTGTCTCTCTTTCAATATTTCTATAGTGGGAGCATCTCTAAGAATTTTTGGAATTTTTCTTTCGAATTGCTGAGGCTTTATAAGATGTGTATGCTATTGCAATATTATTATTAATATAAAAACATGTAGCATTCCAGTTTATATTCAAATGCTAGTACTTTTCAAATACGTGAAGGTATTGTAGTTTATCATAGACTATGGATTGCATAATATTTTTTATGAAGAGACGTATAGGAATTGAAATCTCTAGATTATTATATTTGTAATAATAATGTTCGATATTCGAGAGGTCAAAACTCAGTACGGTTATGCTATAAGAGTTCTTTGCAAAATGGTCAACTTTGTTATTTAGTGTATCTTCTGAATGTGTTTTGACTTTATAGAGGCATATGTTGAGGTGTTGTGATTTGATAACCTTGAATAGGCTCAACTATAACGAAAAGTTATTAATCTTGAACAGGGTCTAGTGGTTAGAGAAAGACATAAAATTCTTTTAAAATTGTGAAATTGCCTGATCATAACTTGTAAATCTGTTATGATAGTAATATGACAATTTTGTAAGACAATGATGATAGCAGTAAAAATTGCTGCTAGTTTTGCAACTGAGGATGAAAGAAACGTAGCAACTAATGTTAATAAAAAGGAGGCCAAGGGTGAATATGGATTTGTTTATAGCCAAGTCTTATCCATTCTTATAGAGGGAATGTCTAGATCAGAAAAAGAACTGACAGTATAGAATTCTATATGTGAAGCAGCAGAAAATTGTTGTGAAAGAGTTAGTAGCTTATATCTATATAGTAACATAATGAATTTTAATATTATAGAAGAAAATGTAGGGTAGTGAAAAACAATTAGAGGTAAGTGGGACAAACCATTATAAGAATAGTTAGTCATATAGGATATGATGTCCTTCATTAGTGGTAATAACTATACGTAGACATGTTGCTTTCAGGTATCTTTAAGCATAATCTTTATATAAAAGCTAAGAGATATGGTCACTATGCAATTGTATTTTTTTAAAAAGGAAGAGTTGCTCACAAGGAGCATGAGTTGGTTAAGTAAACAACCATCACATTGATGCAGAGATGTCTTAGTAAAGGGAGTGAAAATATAATAAATAATATCAGCAAAACTGTCTGCTATCTTTAAAATGTGTCTAAAAACTAGTGCATTAGTATTGGTATCCTAATATAAGATAAAAGAGTGAACTGTAATTTCATACTGTGAGGATACCACCAGAAATCTATACGTAAACTGTATAGGTATATTGTATTTGTAGGCAAAAAGTTGAGTTTGTTAACATTAAGTGCGCTTTTAATTTTGAGGTACCATTTAGAGGATGGTTCTTTATTAGGGTTTGAGAAAAGATATCTTAAGTCCTTAGTGGTGTATAATAACCTTCTATCTCTACTGCCCTATAAAAAATTTGCATACGTTTTTTCATTATTATAAATAAGTTTTGTATACGTTTTTTGAAATTCCGTATC